CCTATCTTTCCTTCTCCCTCCATCCACTCTATCCGTTGTTGTGTTTACATATTCTCCTCTTCAGGGGATCACCTGGTTCTCTTTTTCTTTTTTCTTTTTTCCCTTATTTGAAAGTTATATAAAAAAGGCAAGATTTACAAAATACAAGATACAAAAATAGATAAAGCTCTTTACATATTCCCCACGTTTTATGTACACATTTTTTTCTTTTTTGTTGTTACTGTTGGATCTGTACTTTTTTCTGTTTTGTATTTTATTCCTATTGATAAAACATAATATATTATTATGAATGGATGGATGGATGGATGGATGGATGGATGAAACAAACAAACAAACAAACAATTGGACAACCATTTGTCCAGGATGATATAAGGACTTCTGCCTTGAGCGGGGGGGGGGGGTTGGACTAGATGACCTCCAAGGTCCCTTTGAGTCCCAGGATTCTATGATTCTATGGAAATCAGCAGACTGTTGGTTTTTTTACAAAATAAGCCATCGGGCAAGTTTTCCCATCCTGACCAGCTGCTGCTACCACCCTCACCCCACCCACCTTGGCAGTCAAACTCTTCTTTTCTGATTCCTAGGAGAGAAAAGGCACATTTACCTACCTGGGAAAATGAAGATGAAGAAGGCACCAATGCCTCCAATGACGCTGACCACCTCACTGATGTCGGGTACACACAGGGCAATGATGAGGGTGACTACCACCCAGGCGGTGGTCAGCAAAATTCGCATACATCTCTCGCTGGTCTCCCTCTGGATGCAGCTCTGCTTGGAGCCAAGGCACGCATCTTGGAGGACGGACCTAACAGAGATATTGGTGCGTTTCTCTAAGGGCTCAAGAATCTGGTGATGCCTTAAACATTGATCCATTTATCCATCTAGATCAGGGGTGTCCAACTTTGGCCACTTTAAGACCTGTGGACTTCAACTCCCAGAATTCCCCAGCCAGCATAGCCGGCTGGGGAATTCTGGGAGTTGAAGTCCACAAGTTAAAATACCAAGGATGGACACGCCTGCTCCAAATACTTTCCCAAATAAGCTTTGAATTCCTCTGATTCCTCGAAACCCAGAAAAGTTAATATTATCAACCACGGAGTGGTCTTTAAAGGAGTTGGTCCTTGAAGACAAGAAACACAACTGTGAATATCATCTCCAGCTTCATTGTCAGGTTACATTAACAAGTCTTGCAAGACTGAAAGTATTTATCTCCCCCTCTCTTTATACTCTCTAAAAGACTAGGGAGCAGAAGTGGTATTCATCAAGTTCTGACCAGTTCTGGAGAACCAGTAGCAGAAATTTTGAGTAGTTCGGAGAACAGGTAAATACAGAGTAAATACTCTTGACTGGCCCGCCCCTATCTATTCTCCGCCTCCCGAGTCCTAGCTGATCGAGAGGGAATGGGGAATTTGCAGTATCCTTCCCCTGGAGTGGGGAGGGAATGGAGATTTTGCAGTATCCTTCCCCCGGAGTGGGAAGGGAATGGAGATTTTGCAGTATCCTTCCTCTGGAGTGGGGAAGGAATGGAGATTTTGCAGTATCCTTCCCNTGCCTCACCACCCATAAACCTCACTGCACATCACTGCTGCCAGGAATATAAATCCTTCCATTCCCCACCATCCAGTCAGAGCTGAAGAAGCTGCTTGGATGAGAAGCAAAACGTCTTCAAAGAAAAACCAGAAAGTCCAGTTGCTTCCTGAAAAAGCACCTTCGGGACAACCATGATCTGGATGACTCAGAATCTCCATAGACACCCATTCATATGATTTCTGGATGCTGCAATCCGTCATAAATATGAGCTGCCAAGAATCCAAATCATGCTCAGAGGTAGGACAACAGTCATAAGTTTGAATTTGGTCCTAACTGACTTTTGAGGAAACTGTTATGAATTGAAACCATCCTTAAACAAATTGCCAATAGTTGAAGACTATATGCAATGTGCAATAAAATCTGCCCAACACCCCTGTTAACTATCCACAAGAATGTTTGAAAACAGTTCCAGCCAACAAGAGACATGACTAACACGTCACTTTTATTAACAATACCAGGTAGATAAAATGTGAGTGGGAGTTAAATTATAGTGTAGTAAAATCTCAGTTTAACGGGCCATTTAAGGAAGAGGGTTCGGTCACTACTACGTCTTTTCCATGATGTCATTGTGCACCATTGCACTATTGTGTCTAATGCTGCAGCGGATGTGAATTTTACAGTGTGAATCACTGCATCGCGAGGCAAAGGAAATAGCATCAATTGTCTGGATTATTTGCGATGTGGAAAACGTTCGGTTTGTTAACTTCCGGTGCTGAAATTCTTTGGAATGCTTTGCCTTCCAAAGCCTGCTAAAATTAAGTCTGCACGATTGAGATTTTACCGCATCAGTCAGTGACACGGGGCATGGTCTCAACTGGTCCAGCTGTGAAGAAGAAGAGTGTCCCTTGGAGGCAACATCACCTCGGATGATGACTTTGGCTAGAGTTTGTGCAATAGGACCATGATGGCAGATGCTGTGCTTTGCCCAAAGATGAAAGCGCCACAAAGGATGGTGATGATTCCCCAGACAATTAGGCAGGACCTGCAAGGAAGTGGGGAAAAGAGGCCATGTTGCACATGTTGTGGTGGACTGGCGGCCTCTGGCCTCTCCAGCAGCTGAATCAGAGGAGAAGGAGGAGGCGTGGCAGTCAGGGTCAGCATCAAGGCAACCTGGGNAGACAGAGACAGACAGAGAGACAGAGAGAGAGACAGACAGAGACAGACAGAGAGATAGACAGAAAGAGACAGAGACAGACAGAGAGACAGATAGAGAGAGAGAGAAAGAGACAGAGAGAGAGAGACAGAGAGAGACAGACAGAGAGACAGACAGACAGAGAGAGACAGAGAGACAGAGACAGACAGAGAGACAGACACAGAGAGAGGGGGGGCACTATAGTCAAATTCTGTATAATCAGAGTTATTTTTAAGCGGGCATCATTCAGATGCAATGGACATCTACTCCCATACTCCCCAGCCAGTATTGACTATCAAATCATCCCTGAAAGCAACATGTTGAAGATAGGATGGAGCAGATGAATAATCTAGAGAACTGAATGTTAAAGGACAGAGTGGTAAGAACTACGTTGATCCCAACAGCAAATGATGTTTCTTAGCACTTTCTCTACCCCTCCCCCCCAAAAGGAGATTCCAGACTCCACCATAACTATATATCCCTAAATGCAGAAAGGTGCTTTGAGGAAGGTCTATGGAGATGCTCAGTCATTCAGGACATGGTTGTCCAAAATGTGCTTTTTCAAGAGGCAACTGGAATTTCTTGTTTTTATTTTTGAAGACGTTTCGCTTCTCATCCAAGCAGCTTCTTCAGCTCTGAGGAAACTTCTTGGATGAGAAGCGAAACATCTTCAAAGAAAAATCAGAAAGTCCATTTGCCTCTTGAAAAAGCACCTTTGGGACAATCATGACCTGAATGGCTGAGAATTTCTACAGATGTTTAACTATACAATTTTGGGATGGACACCCTTGGAATGGTGTGGGAGTAGGAATAGATTTCCAGAGGAAAAATTGCAGACTACAAGAACTGTTTGCACCATTCAGGTGACCCTGAGGACACAGGCAAACCTCCAAATGGCCTCAAGGACCCTCTAAAACAGTGTTTCTCAACCTTGGCGACTTTAAGTCCTGTGGACTTCAACTCCCAGAATTCCCCAGCCAGTGCTGGCTGGGGGATTCTGGGAGTTGAAGTCCACAGGATTTAAAGTTGCCAAGGTTGAGAAACACTGCTCTAAAAGGATGCAAATGACCAGCTGTCTGCCAAGCAGGGACGTGCAGTCATGGGAGGCANCCCATGTTCCTCCCCAACTTCCTCACTGAATCTGCTGCCAGCTCTTCTGGCCACTGGCGGGCCACAAAACTGCATTCATAGATGTTTGCTCGGCTTGCTGGGGAGAAAAGTTTGCAGCTTAACCCATTTCATTAATTTTGGGCTGATGAATCGTCCCTATCTTATTTATTTATTTATTTTTACAGGATATTATTTCTCTGCTACTCATTATTGACCCCAATGTGTCTCCCTCTGTTGCAGCGTAACTGCGGTCAGGCTTCCCGATGGGGTCACTTTCATTGTCTACGAATTCTGGGAGAATGAGGATGACTGGAAAAGGTACCATAATAGCGGCCTCCGCTTTTGCTCCCCCCCCCCCCCGTGTTCTGAGTTAAGAAACCGGCTGACTTTCTTCTCCGTCCTTCTCCTTGCCTCCACAGGCATCTCCAGAGTCCCATCTGTAAAAGCTTCCAGCATGTCAAAGTGGATACGCTGAATCAGCCAGAAGGAGTTTCCAGCGTGTCAGTGCCAGGTCTGAACACTAAAATTGTGACGAGACTAAGATCTAGAGTGGTCTTGGTGTGGGGACAGGGCTCAAATATTTTGAGTATTTTGATTAAAAGAAATCAATAGTTCCTTGGAAACTAGCTTGAATCCTGGCCCATCCCTGGTTTTCTTGGCAACCAACTAGAAAGTGGTCTTCTTCCAGGGTGACTGTTCAATTTCCCATTATAGATATGCTGGCTTTTCCTGGGGGATCTCCCTTTCTATTACTAACCATGACTGACAGTGGTGGGTCACTACCGGTACTCTGCTCGTGGCCCATTCGTGCATGCACTGGACGTGTGCTCTGCATGCGCCAGATGTGCGCTGCGCATGCATGCACACTCCACCACATCTGTGACACCCAGCTGTTTGGCCGAGGTCGTGCAGGTGCTGCACGCTGTTTGCTTGTGTGCAATTGGCCCGCTTGCTTCAAAAGCAGGTGTGGAACGCGGGCGGGTGGGCCAACCGAGCCACCATACTGATATGGTAGCCGCTGCTCCCGTCTACTACCTGTACGGCCTTATTGGGCCATACCAGCCAGAGCCCACCACTGATGGCTGATTCTGCTGAGCTTTTACGTACCAAAAAAGCTGGTTTTGCTGAAGCCACAGTGTATGATGCCAGCTCAAAGTGGATGCGATTGGGTCCCTGTACGAGATTGCTCTTTATTTTTAAGGAACAAATGGACTGAGTCAGTTTCATGAGCTGAGTTCACACAACATGCTGAAATAGGTTGAAATGGAACCCAACAGGTCATGGCTGAAGATGGGGCTGCCACTGTTTAGAAGGTTGTGTGAATGAGATCATCATGGAAAAGTGTGTTGAATAGTCATCCCAAGTAATGTAACCGTGGGAAAGGTATTTCGATAACCTGGATTTAGATGTTGTGTGAAGCCAGCCTTTGCTTGCAAACCGTTATGGGCCATGGATGGAAGGATCAAGGAAAGAAATGTGTTTAATTGAAATTAAAAAAGGCTCCTTTCTAGCTCAGGGATGGTTAGGAATGGCAGCAAAGACAGGCAGATAGATAGATAGATAGATAGATAGATAGATAGATAGATAGATAGATAGATAGATAGATAGATAGATAGATAGATAGATAGATAGANCCTGGAGTGGGAAGGGAATGGATATTTTACAGTATCCTTCCCCTAGAGTGGGAAGGGAATGGGGATTTTGCAGTATCCTTCCCCTGGAGTGGGAAGGGAATGGATATTTTACAGTATCCTTCCCCTGGAGTGGGAAGGGAATGGGGATTTTGCAGTATCCTTCCCTTAGAGTGTGCAGGGAATGGAGATTTTGCAGTATCCTTCCCTGCCATGCCCACCAAGCCACACCCACTAAGCCATGTCCACAAAACTAGTAGTAAAAAAAATTTGAACCCCACCACTGCTAGGGTGGGTCCTTTCTGGAACTCTTCCCATACCCCCCCCCTCCTTCTGTGGGGTAGGACAACCTTTACATCCCAGTTTTCCAGGAATGGCCTACTATCTCTCAAGATCTTTGGAGCAACTCGATTCTTTTGCTGATTCTCTTCGATTAATAAAAAGACACACGAGAGAAAGTGTGTGTGGTGACCCAGTTTTGTGCAAACATCAAAATGTTGCGTTTTTTCTGAAACAGACTTAACACCTCCGACAGTCCTGGAAACTGTTATTTTTGCTTCTCACCTTCCTAGAAAAAGGACAATGGGGTAGATGGTGATAATGGAGATGCCAAACAACAGCCGGGCTACAATAACCATCACATCATTTCCAGGGTAGGACATGAGGATATCAGATGCTACATCCGCTCCAAATGTTAAGTAGCCGTACAAACCTTGCAGGAAATAAATCATGAGGTTGTAACTAGAAAATCTGTGATCTGATGGATCATCGTTTCAGAAAGATTTCCAGTGCAGATACGTCTCTGGTCTTCTGCCCATTTATATATAATAGCTTACTCTCTACTTTTGGTAGGGATTTCCTCCTCAATGATTCTCTGATTATGTTGTGGCCTGCCAGCAGCCAGAGGAGCTGACAGTATATTCGGACAGGGAGGAGGTTGGGGAGGAACATGGGCCAGTACTAGAGGCTGGGGAAGGCTCTGATGAGGGCTCTGTGTCGGAGGCAGAGATGGGGCCAGGGCTGTCCGACAGTTATCAGCTACCTTTGGAGTCGGAGATCAGTGGGGCAGAAGAACAGCTGGAGCCTGTTCCCAGTGTGAGCATGTGCAGAGTTGCCAGACGAAGGGAACAGCTAAAGAACAAGGGTTGACTTGGGAGTAAGGCCACAGGTGGACGTGAATGGCCCCTCCAATAGAGAATAAAAGAGGAGCAAAAGGGGAGTGGAGTTTTCAGGAGGCAATTAGTTCATTCCCGCATTCTTGCCAAGTATTTTGGCGATTGAAAGATATCGGCCTGGCTACTCTCCAAGCCGGATAAAGGTCGGTAATTGTAAACTATCTTGAAAGATTGTGAGCCGGGACTTTGCTGGAGGGGAATTCACTGTAAATTAAATAAAAGGGGTTTATCGGGACTAGGAATTGGCTTTATGCTGCTGGGGTTGCCTAGGTCAGAACAGATTAATCAAGGAACTGATTAATCAAATTGGCAAGGTAAGCTACTATAAATAAATGGGCAGCAAATCAATCAATCAATCACACAAACACACACACACACACACACACACACACACACACACACTGAAAGTGTTAACTAGTTGGACAATGAAGTATCTTCAAGCAAACTACCAAGCTCAAAGACCACTAGAAACTCCACTTTAGTTTATTTATTTGGGTGAAAGAAACTGCGACAAACTCTTACATTTCTAAACCCAAAAGAATCCTTTGCCCACCAATGATTCTTGCCAAGTCGCTTTTAGTGAAATTTCTTGAGAGGCTTGTAAGAATTCCAGCAACTGAGCTATTTCACATCTAGAATCAAATATATCCCAATATCCATTTGTCAGATTTCAAGTGCTACGATGCACAGGTTACGTGGCGAGAAGTTGGCTAGAATGGAGTGGAGTTGGAATCCAATCCTTCTGAAGGTTCTTGGTGCCTTCTGAACTTAGTTGTTTTCTTGCAGACATTTCATTGCGCAAACTAGGTAACATCATCAGTGTAGGCATCACGAGCACTGATTATGTTACCTAGTTGGGTAATGAAACATCTGCAAGAAAACAACCAAGCTCAGAGAGCACCAAAGACCTCACAATTCTCCTCTTCCTCCTTCTCCTCCTCCTCCTCCCCTTCTCCTCCTCCTTCACTACACAAACCTCACTCTCTTCTAGTACTGATAATGTTACCTAGTTGGGTAATGAAATGTCTGCAAGGAAACTACCAAGCTCAGAGAGCACCAAGGATCCCACAGTTCTCCTCCTCCTCCTCCCTCTCCCCCTTCTCCTCCTCCTTCACTACACAAACCCCACTCCCTTCTTGTACTGATAATGTTACCTAGTTGGGTAATGAAATGTCTGCAAGAAAACTACCAAGCTCAGAGACCACCAAGGACCCCAAAGTCCTTCTTCCTCTCCTCCTCCTCCTCCTCTCCACAGACTCCATTCCCTTCTAGCACGGATGATGTTGCCTAGCTGGATCATGAAAGGTCTGCCAGACAACTCAGAGGGCATCCCCTCACTTCAGCCTTGAGCTACCAATATTCTCCTTCATTGGCACCTCGGAAGAGTACCAGATGTGAAAGGTCTCTGATGGAGAACATTAAGAGGAAGATACCTGTCAGGGAGTATATCAATAAGCAGAAGAGCATGGACACCACAGAGACCACCACCCAGTGGGACAGCCTCTTATCCCTCAGGCTGCAGTAGATGGCCACACAGGCTTCGTGACACTGGAAGGCAAAGAGATCCTGAATACAAAGCATGGCACTCAGCACCCCTCCTACCTAGCACTCACTGCTTCCACCTCTTCCTCGCTTCATATCCATAGAGCTGCCCCTACCCATTCCCACTGTCCCTTTTATCTATCCCTTTTTTAATGTTTTATTTTTTTAATCCATAAACATTGTGAATACAGTGTGTTGTCAGGGTAAATCCTTGACAAAAGGAAAACAAAGAGAACAAGACACAGTGTTACTACATATACTAGTAACAGGAGTAATAATTATACATAACCTAGATTGAACTGGTTCAAACCAGCTGAATAGCATCTCTGGTTGTAACTCGAAAAGCACCTGTATAGAAATGCATNAGGTGGCTGATGAGGAAGAGGAGGAACAGCTGGGTCCAGTGCCTGACACATGGATGCATAAAAGGCAGAGGAGAGGAGAGCAGTGGAAACCTATGGGCCGGTCCTTGGGAAGGAAGAGCCACCAATGCTACTGAAGCCCCACCTTAGCTCTGGGGATAAAAGACAGGGGGCAGAGAGGAATAGTTGTTGCAAACAACTATTCATCTTCCAGCCAGATGGACTTGTTAGCCTGTAGTGAGAGAGAAACTTTTTGCCGGGGCTGCTGGCGCTTCTAATAAAGGAATCTTTGAGTTCACTTCACAGGGTTTGTTGTGTTTGGGGAGCTGGGTCAGAACACACATCTTCTATAAAACCTGGATGAAGAGATCCAGCTTTTATAGAAATACCCGGACGTGTCAACCTGGAAAAGGGCCTCAGCTGAAGCCATGCTTACTTCTGCTTTGTTTCTGGGTTCCCAATCAAGAGGGATGAGGGAGAGCATGGGGAGAACTTGGGAATGTGGTGCCTCAGCCAGCTAGCCATAACATCTACCAGCCGGCGTGAGAACCAAGGTCATGTCAATGGACAACTGTTGAAGTTGAGCGAGAACCTACACCTGGACTGATTGGCCCGTGTGGCCTGAGAGACAAAATGGGGTGGGGAGATCTCATTCTTTTAACTATCCTTAAGCGCGGGAATAATTTAGAGCAGGCTTCACCTTTATAAGTGGCAATATGATATACTCAATAAAGCAGGGGTGTTAAACTCAATGCCCGGGGGGCAGATCTGGCCTGTGGGGTGCTTAGATTGAGCCCATGGACCTGCCCCGCAAAAAGCAAAGGACCGGCCCATGAGGCCTTTTCCTAGCAAAATCAGAGCTCAGGAGGGCCACATGCAGCCCGCTTGGGCTGTTTTCAGCCGCAACGACTCCTGCATCCCTCTGCCAATGAAAATGGAGCTCAGGGAGGCCGCACATGACCCATCCAGGCTCCATTTTCACTGGCAGAGGACTGCAGGAGGCCATTGTGGCAGAAAACGGAGCCTTGATGAGTGACATTGAGCTGGCCAGGCCTATCCTGACCACGGCCCATGGCCCCCTGAGGTCAAACACAACCCTGGTGTAGCCCTCAATGAAATCGAGTTTGACACCCCTGCAATAAAGGATCTCTTGAACCCGACTTCCCCGAGTTCATTCCTCGGGAACGATGACAGGACGTTTATCTAACAATTTTTTAAAAAAATTACCAATTAAAATGGGTTGCTGCTTTGCCCAACAAGTCCCTGGGGCAAAATGGGGGAATGACAACCCTCTCTTACGTCTGTACAAAACGTTGTCAGCTGCTGTGATCACGTCTTTCTCGGCTTCGAGATTCTTCCCAGCCGAAGCTTTGCAAAGGAGCGCAGCCTTTGCGCCTGTAAAAAAAGCAGCAGGAAGAATCGTGAAGCTGTTTTGCACGGGGTCGCACATTGAGGGAGCTGCTTTGCAGTAATGCGGGTTGGCTTCAATCTATTTGATGGCCTAAATTAGATGGATGGAAGCAGCCACTAATCCAAAGCGACTAAACTGTCCGTGGTGCAGAAAAAAAATTGATTGGGAGGGTTGGGGGTGCTAAACGTACTTGGTTCTTGGCCTGAAGGACTCCGTCTCCATGGCAAACACCAAACACAGCCCTGAGGTAAAATAGAAAACATTCAACATGAACAATTGCTTAAAGATCAGTGGTGGTGCAGTGGTTAGAATGTAGTATTGCAGACTAATTCTGCCCACTGGCAGCAGTTCAATCTTCACCGGTTCAAGGTTGACTCAGCCTCCATCCTCTGAGGTTGGTAAAAGGAGGACCCAGATTGTTGGGGAAAATAGGCTGACTCTGTAAACCACTTAGAGAGGGCTGTAAAAGCACTGTGAAGCGGTATATAAGTGATATTGCTATTGCTATTGTTGTCCTTCCTTCCTTCTTTCCTCCCTTCCTTTCTTTCTTTCTTTCCTTGGTGATGCAGGGGTTAGAATGCAGTATTGCAGACTAATTCTGCCCACTGCCAGAAGTTCAATTCTCACTAGCTCAAGGTTGACTCAGCCTTCCGAGGTTGGTAAAATGAGGACCCAGATTGTTGGGGGCAATACTGTAAACCGTTTAGAGAGGGCTGTAAAGCACTGTGAAGCGGTACATAAGTCTAAGTGCTATTGTTATCTTCCTTCCTTTCTATTCGAATGCAGTATTGCAGGCTAACTCTGCTCACTGCCATGAGTTCAATTCTCTCTGGCTCAAGGTTGACTCAGCCTTTCATACTTCCGAGGTGAGTAAAATGAGGACCCAGATTGTTGGGGGCCAATAGGCTGACTCTGTAAACCACTTAGAGAGGGCTGTAAAAGCACTATAAAGTGGTATATAAGTCTAAATGCTATTGCTATTTTCCTTCCTTCCTTCCTCCCCTCCCTTCCCTTCCTCTGCACGATGATTAGAATGCAGTATTGCAAGCTAACTCTACCCATTGCCAATAGTTAGAATCTCACCAGGCTCAAGGTTGACTCAGCCTTCCATCCTTCCAAGGTGGGTAAAATGAGGAGCCAGATTGTTGNAGGGCCGGAGCTGCAACAGAGAAGGCCCTCCCCCAGGTTGTAGCCAGATGGCATTGGCTGGTGGATGGAACCCGGAGGAGGCCGACCCTGTGCGATCTAATGGGTCTTTGGGAGGTAATTGGCAGCAGGCGGTCTCTCAAGGATCATGGTGACACAGTAGTTGGAATGCAATATTGCAGCCTAATTCTGCTCACTACCAGTACTTCGGTCCTGACCAGCTCAAGGTTGACTAAGCCTCCCATCCTTCTGAGGTGGGTAAAATAAGGACCCTGATGGTTGGGGGCAAGAGGCTGACTCTGTAAATCGCTTAGAGAGGGCTCTGAAGCGGTATATAAGTCTAAGTGCTATTGTTATCGCTTCAAGAGCCAAAGCAAAGCTGAAACAGCCTTTGGGGGCCATGTAAGAACTTAAGAAGATCAAGTCAAGGATCTGATTAACCAATCACTCTGCATCCCTCAATGGCCAATCATAAGCATCCATAAATTCATAAATCTGCCCTAGGAGTGGTCATCTCACCCAGTAGATGATATTAGCAGCACTATGCCTGAAGCTGTAGGAAATATCATTGAGGCCTCAAGACTCGGTATGGTCAACAAAGCCAATCCTCCACGAATGCATTGAGTCTTTTTTGAAAACTTCTTACGTCTTGTGTTTGAAGGCACCTTTGGAACAACCATGACCTGATGGCTGAAAATCTCTACAGACTTTTAGCTACACAATTTGGGATGGAGACCCTTGGAATGGGGTGGGAGGAGGAATGGATCTCCAGAGGGGAAAAATTGCAGACTCCAGGAACCATTTGCACCACTCAGGTGACCCTGAGATAAACCTCCAAGTGGCCTCAACGATCCTCTAAAAGGATGCAAATGACCAGCTGTCTGCAAGGAGCATCAATCCTTCCATTCCCCACCATCATCCAGTCAGAGCTGAGGAAGCTTCTTGGATGAGAAGCAAAATGTCTTCAGAGAAAAACCAAGGAAGTCCATTTGCCTCCTGAAAAAGCACCTTTGGGACAACCATGGCCTGGAGGACTGAGAATCTCTACAGACTTTTAGCTGCACAATTTGGGATGAAGACCCTTGGAATGGGGTGGGAGGAGGAATGGATTTACAGAGGGGAAAATTGCAGACTACAGGAACCTTTTGCACCCCTCAGGTGACCCTGAGGACACAGAGAAACCTCCAAGAAGCCTCAACGGCCCTCTAAAAGAATGCAAAGGACCAGCTGTCTGCAAGGAGCATCAATCCTTCCATTCCCCACCATCATTCGATCAGAGCTGAAGAAACTTCTTGGATGAGAAGCGACATGTCTTCAAAAGAAAAAAAACAAGGAAGTTCAGTTTCCCTCCTGCAAAAAAACCCCAACACCTTTGGGGCAAACATGACCTTGGATCCCTGAGAATCTTTACAGATTTGAAGGCAGAAAGTTTTACCTCCAAATCCAGCCGGCTGGCTTGAGCAGGGGGTTAGACTAGAAGACCTCCAAGGCCCCTTCCTATTTGGTTATTCTGATTTGGCAGGGTTGTCACAGCTGAAGCCTTCCTGACAGAGCAATGTTTACCTGGTGGAAACTTGCTCAGGGTGGCAGTGGGTTTCTCCTTTCCGTTCTCCGCTTCTTCTTCTCCATGAGTGGGCCCTTCTGGAGAAGGCAGGCGTTGGGACACCTCAAAGTCAGACAAGCTACAGGGAAAGAAAATGGGGAAGGTTTAAATGCAGGTCGTTCTCGCCTTTACGACCACGGCTTAGCCCAACATTTCTGTTGCTAAGTGAGCCATTTGTTAATTTTGCTTCGTTTTACAAAAAGGCACAAAAAGGAAAGGACATTTCGATCCCCGCAATGGATGAATGGCTGCAAAAGTTGACAGAGTTACCGTGTTTCCCCGAAAATAAGATAGGGTCTTATTTTCTTTTGACACACACACACACACACACACACACACACACACACACATGAAATAAGCACTTAGCCTAATTTTTGGGGAGGTAATATTATTTTTGAGGTGCAGGAGGCAGTGAGCGTGGTCACCTCATGACTGCTGCTGTGTTGTAATATTTTCAGAGAGGGCTTNAGGAGGAGGAGGAGGAGGAGGAGGAGGAGGAGTAGTCATGCTTGATGCTCTCTGAGCTTGGTGGTTTTCTTGCAGATGTTAAGACACATGTTCAATGCTAGAAGGAGAGGAAGAGGAGGAGGACAACAACAACAACAATTATGGGGTCTTGGTGCTCTCTGAGCTTGGTGGCTTCCTTGCAGACATTTCATTACCCTACTAGGAAACATCAGCAGTGCTAGAAGTGGGATTTGAGGAGAAGGAAGAGGAGGACTTGATGTTCTGTGAACCTGGTGGCTTTACTGCAGATGTTTCATTAGACACATGTTCAGTTCTAGAAGGGGAGGAAGAGATGGAAGAGGAGAAGGCGGACAACAATGGCTATGGAGTCATTGGTGCTCTCTGAGTTTGTAGTTTTCTTGCCGATGTTTCATTACCCAACTAGGGAACATCCTCAATGCTAGAAGGAAGTGGGATTTGAGGAGGAGGAAGAGGAGGAGGAGGAGAACTTGATGTTCTCTGAGCTTGGTGATATTACACATGTTCGGTGCTAGAAGGGGGGGAGGAGGAGGAGGAGGACAATGAATATGGAGTCCTTGGAGCTCTCTGAGCTTGTGGTTTTCTTGCAGATGTTTCATTACTCAACTAGAGAACATCATCAGTGCTGGGTAACGACCAAGGATGATCATCCATTGCCCTGAAGATGTTTCCAAATCTGGTGTCCTCTGGATGACTTATATGGGGTAGTGGGCATCACCAAAAAATGTAAAATTGGCACCTGTGAGCAGCCCCCTGCCACCAGAAGAGAGATCATGGCTCTCTGAAGTAATCCAAAACATCTTACCTTGGTCTGGGACAGAAGCTGAGACCTGTTGCTCCAGATGCTTCCTCAGATGTTCGTTGGTTTTTATGGAATCTTCTAGTCGCTGTCTCAGCAAGCGTATTTCCTGGAGGTGTTCCATCAAGAGCTCTGAAGAAATTCCAGAGATTGGCTGAATCAGCTTAGGAGGTAGCAGGGAAGCACAGTCAGCTAAGCATGCTGTAGATCTTCTGCAGTCAGTGATGGTCCTCCAGTGATTGGGAGGAAAGCTTCAAAAACAGTACCGCCATCACCACCACCCCCAAGCCATGTGGGACACCCCGGATGTCCCTTAACTACGTCGTGCGGAGGCCTGACTTCATCTTGACCACCTAAAAAGCCTTCTGCTCAAGCAATTCTATTCTTTGATGCCACCTGCCTTCAGAAGGAGGACAACGGCTTAAAAACTAATGAAGATGGAGAGCAGGAGGTTGCTCTGACCTAGGCTTCCCCAGCGGCATGAAGATGAGTCCTCGCCCCAATAAACTCCTTTTATTTAATTGACCGTGAATTCCTCTCCAGCAAAGTCTTTTCTCTCCCACAGTCCTTCAAGATAGTTCACAATTACCGACCTTGATCAGGCTTGGAGTGGCCAGACCGGTATCTTTCATTTTTTTTTTTTTTTTCTGCATTCTCACCAAGATGCCACCATACTTGGTGAGAATGCAGGAATGAACTAATTGTCTCCTGCAAACTCCACTCCCCTTTCGCTTCTCTTTTATTCCCTCTGGGAGGGGCCATTCATTGACCACCTGTGGCTTTACTCCCAAATTGGCCCCTGTTCTTTAGCTGTTCCCTTCGTCTGGCAACTCTGCGCATGTGCACACTGGGAACAGGTTCCAGCCTCACTGATGTTTGACTCTGAAGGCAGCTGATAACTGGCATATGGCCCTGGCCCCATCTCTGCCTCCGACACAGAGCCCTCGTCTGAGCCTTTCCCAGACTCCAGGACTGGCCCAGGTTCCTCCCCAACCTCCCTACTGCCCGAATCTCCTGCCAGCTCAAGTGGCTGGCCACCACAGAAGTGGAGAAGAGGAAGAAAATTGTTCAGATCTTTGCTGGACTGCAGCTATCTAGAAAACTAGTTAGTATTTTTTTTAAAAAAATGTAGCTGCTTAGTGTCTTTGGATATAAAAGAAAGAAAATAAAACTGGATAAAAAGACAGAGCAAGAAGAATGTAGGAAGGGTGGCAGGCAGTTGAAGCAATCAGTATTAGATGATATTAAAATTCCTCCACAGAGGAAACTTAACAGAACAGAGTTAGTTTCCCAGCTTCACTACTTAACTCACTACTGAATTATGGGGTACCACTCAAAAATATCTAAATTAAAACACTGGTGGGCACAACTGTATAGGAAAAAAGCATTTTTTCCCCCTCCACTTTCGGTAACTAAAACAGATCGGCGCAGACCATAATACCCCAATTCATCTCGTGAATTCCATCTCTTTGGCCTCCTTTCTGCACAGACACATGTTCCTTCACCTCCTTTATCGTCCCATCTTCCCCCGCACAAGTGGGCGGTGCTCATCTGTTTCAAAGCCGAAGAGCCAGCACTGTCTTCAGACGTCTCCATGGTCATGTGGCCGGCATGACTCAATACCCAAAGGTGCACGGAACGCTGTTACCTTCCCACCAAAGCTGGTTCCTATTTTCCTACTTCCATTTTTTAACGTGCTTTCAAACTGCTAGGTTGGCAGAAGCTGGGACAAGGAACGGGAGCTCACTCCGTTACGCGGTGCTAGGGATTCGAACCGCCGAACTGCCGACCTTTCTGATCGACAAGCTCAGCGTCTTAGCCACTGAGCCACCCTTTAGACCCACCCCANAGCCTCGAGCCAAGTTTCAAAAGAAAACCAGTCATGTATTAGGAGTACCATTTCAGCAATACCCTATTGCAGTCAGATCTAAGCGTTTGAATTTTAGCCGACCTTTACCCCTGTTCCTTCGCTCCCCTCAGTCTGTGTCATAAATCACATTCTCCAATGAGGTGCCCCCCTCCCAAGCCTGCTGTAGTAATCTGAGATCCAACTCTATCAGATGGTATGCATGGAATGGGCTCACCATGGCAACTTTAGGAGTTGACATCAAAGGAGAAAGCTGTATTACTAACAACCATATTACTGAGTTAATGATTCACTCCAGTGAGAAAAGTCGTAAGATGGGGCAAACCTCCATGTTTCACTTAGCAACAGAAATGTTGGGCTCAATCGCGGTCGTTAAGTCAAAGACCACCTGCAATAGTTTTATGTGAACATAAATTGTTTTTTTTTCTTCCGCAAAAACTCTAGAGTGGGTTTTTTAACTCATCCACCATTGTGAGTTACAGAGCACGCTTGACTTTGGACGTGGGAAAATCCAAAACTTGTTTCCTGGTCTTCCGTGGAATTCACCCAAGGCTAAGGACAATGGTATCCCATTTGGTCTGGCTATCTTGCCCTCCCTAATGATATGATTCTTTGTCAGTGCCTGAGAGTTCATGACTTGGAAGAAGACGTGGTAACAAGGTCAGCCAATGAACAGGCATAGCAACTAAGTCAGCCAATGAGGGCTGTTTGGAAACTGAAACAGTATTTGCTCTACAAGCAACAAGGAGACAGCGAGGAGCCTGGGTGTGGCTTAGTTCAACTGTTCTGTACTGAAGCCCTGAGTTTGTGCGGAGCTCTTAACTAGTCTGCTGCTCTGAACTGAAACTGAAACTGTTCTCTCCTCAGCCTGTGTTTGCTTGTATTTGCTACTGTGTTGGAAGAATCCGCATCGGTATTGCATATATGCCTGTGTTATTATGTATATAAAGAAGTTATTGAATCCTGCTGAATCCGTTACCTGTGTGTGCTTTCTGGATGTGATTGCTGCAACAAACTCTGATGCTCTTGCCCATGGGATTTTGCCCATGGACATCTCTACATTGATGGGATTGCCCAATCTTGAAGATGAACCGAAGGATGGGTGGAGAAGGTCCATAAACCCCTGCATGCCCCAAAACCTGTCTCCTTTCCTCTGGAGTTCAGTACTTAAATTCCCTTCTGAATTAATCCACTGTAGAAGAACCCAACAGCCTTCCTATTTGTATCTGATACCCTTTACCTTTCGCTTTCTGGAGGGCTTCATCCAACTTTTCGTACACCTTGAGCTCCACTCGCAACGAGCACAACAATTTGTCATTCTCTGACAGCTGGTGATGCTTTGTGGCCAGCTCCATCTGCAACCTAGAACATCCCAAGCAAACTAGTCAGTGAGGGCTTATAATCCCGCATCACGAAGGGTGACCTGATTGTGGTAGGACTCTCCCTGTTGTCCTGAGACATCTCCTTCAACCTTTCCTTCTCCTGTGGCCCGCCAGCTCAGCTGGCAGCAGATTTGGACAGTGAGGAAGTTGGGGAGGAACCTGGGCCAATCCTGGAGTCTGGGGAAGGCTCTGATGAGGGCTCTGTGTCGGAGGCAGAGAGGGGGCCAGGGCCATCTGACAGTTATCAGCTGCCGTCGGAGATCAGTGGGGCAGAAGAACAGCTGGAGCCTGTTCCCAATATGCACATGCGCAGAGCTGCCAGGAGAAGGGAATAGCTAAGGAACAAGGGTCAACTTGGGAGTAAAGCCACAGGTGGATGGTGAATGTCCCTTCCCATAGGGAATAAAAGAGGAGCAACTGGGGAGTGGAGTTTGCAGGAGGCAATTAGTTCAATTCATTCGGGTGAAGATCTGTTCCTGACTTCTTGCCAAGTAATTGCTGCTACAGTGTGGCGTTTGGAAGATATTAGNTGTGGGTGTGGGGAC